AAACTCAAAGAAATTCAAGATAACACAGAGAAGGAATTCAGAATTCTCAGAAAAATTTAACAAAAAGATTGAAATAATTAAAAAGTATCAAGCAGTATTTCCAGAGCTGAAAAATATAATTAGCATACTGAAGAATGCATGAGTCATCTGATAGAATAGGTCAAGCAGATGAAAGAACCAGTGAGTTTGAAGACCAACTATTTGAAAATACACAGTCCAGGAAAACAAAAGAAAAAGCAATTTAAAAAATGAAGCACATCTATAGGATCTAGAAAATAACCTCAAAATGGCAAAATCTAAGAGTTACTGGCCTTAAAGGAGGTTGCTGGCCTTTAAGGAAGAGGTAGAGAAAGAGATCTGGGTAAAAAGCTTATTCAAAGGGAAAATAACAGAGAACTTCCCAAACTTAGAGAAAGATATCAATATCCAAGTACAAGAAGGCCGTAGAACGCCAAGCAGATTTAACCCAAATACTCCCTCAAGGCATTTAATAATCAAACTCCTAAAGATCAAGGATAAAGGATACAAAAGCAACAAGAAAAAAGAAACACAAAATACAATGGAGTTCCAATACATCTGGCAGCAAACTTTTCAGTGGAAACCTTACAGGCCAGCAGAAAGCAGCATGACATATTTAAAGTGCTGAAGGAAAAACCTGTATCCTAGAACAGTGTATCTGGAAAAAAAATATCATTCAAACATGAAGGAAAAAGAAAAGACTGTCCTCGACAAACAAAAATTGACGGACTTCATCAACAGCAGACTTATACTACAAGCAATGTTAAAGGGATTACTTATTACTTCAATCAGAAAGAAAATGATATAAATGAGCAATAAATCATCTGAAGGTGCAAAACTCAATTGTAATAGTGAGTACAGAGACAGAGAAAAACAGAATATAACACTGTAACTGTGGAGTGTAAACTACTCTTATATTAAGTAGAAAAAATAAACAATGAACCAATAAAAAAAACCCTACAACTTTTCAAGACATAGTACAAGAAGATATAAATAAAAACTACAAAACATAAAAAGGCATAAAGTATTATTAGTTTTCTTTTTGCTGGTTTATTTGTTTATGCAAACTGTCATTATCAGCTTAAAATAATGGGATATACAATAGTATTTGCAAGGTTTATGGCAACCTTAAACCAAAACATGTACAATGTTTACACACACACAAAAAGCAAGACACTAAATCAGATCACCATAGAAAATCACCTTCACTAAAAGAAAGACAGGAAGGAAAGAAAGAAGAGAAGGCCACCAAACAACCAGAAAACAACAAAATGGCAGAAGTAAGCCCTTACTTATCAATGACAACATTGAATGTAAAGGACAGAACTCTCCAATCAAAAGACACAGAGTGACTACATTAATTTAAATAAGATCCAATAATTTGTTGCCTACAAGAAACACACTTCACCCATAAAGACACATATCAACTAAAAATAAAGGGATGGATAAAGACATTCCATACCCATAGAAACCAAAAGAGAACAGGAGGAGCTCTACAGAGGCAAAATAGCTTTCAAGATGAAAAAAAAAAAAAACTTTAATAAGAGACAAAGAAGGTCACTATGTAAGGACAAAGGGGTCAATTTAGCCAGAGGATATAATGATTATAAATATATATGCACCCAATATTGAAGCACCCAGATATATAAAGAAAATATTATTAGAGCTAAAGAGAGACAGAAACCACAGTACAGTAACAGATGGAGACATTAACATCCCACTTTCAACAAAGAAACATTGGACTTATTCTGCATCATAGGCCAAACGAACCTGAGAGATATTCACAGAACACTTCATCCAATGGCTGCAGAATACACACTCTTTCCCGCAGCACATGGATCATTCTCAAGGAGAGACCATATGTTAGGTCACAAAAGTCCTAAAACATTCAAAAAATATAAATAATACCAAGCATCTTCCGTGACCACAATGGGATAAAAGTAGAAATCAATAATAAAAGGAATTTTGCAAACTATACAAATACATGGAAATTAAACAAAATGTTCCTGAATGACCAGTGGGTCAATGCAGAAATTAAGAAGGGAACTGAAAAATTTCTTGAACCAAATGATAATGAAAACACAACATTCAAAACCTATGGGATACAGCAAAAGCAGTATTAAGAGGAAACTTTATAGCTGTGCGTGCCTACATCAGAAAAAAAAAGCAAAATGTCAAATAAACAATTTAAAAGCAAGAACAAACCAAATCCAAAATTAGCAGAAGAACTAATAAAAATCAGAGAATAAATGAAATTGAAATAAAGGAAATAATACCAAAGATTGTTAATCAAAAAGTTGTTTTTTTGACAAGTTAAACATTTAGCCAAACTAAAAAAAAAATGAAAGAAAGAAAAGATCCAAATAAATAACATCAGAGATGAAAAAGGAGACATTACAACTGATACCACAGAAATTTAAAAAATCATTAGTAGTTACTATGAACAACTTATAACAATAAATTGGAAAATCTAGAAGAAATGAACAAATCCCTAGACACATAAAACCTACCAAGATTGATCCATGAAGAAATCCAAAGCCTGAACAGACCAATAATGAGCAACAAGATTGAAGCTGTAATAAAAATTCTCACAGTAAAGAAAATACTGGAACCTGATGGCTTCACTGCTGAATTCTAACAAACATTTAAAGATGAACTAATACCAACCAATCCTACTCAAACTACACTGAAAAACAGAGGAGGATGGAATGCTTTGAAACTTATTCTTTCAGGTCAGTATGACCCTGATACCAAAACCAGACAAAAGTGTTTTATATATGTATAGGTATATGTATATGTGAATATGTACATATGTGTATATATACATATATTTATACACACACACAACCCATTTTTCCATGGGATGCAAGGATGGTTCAGCATATGAAAATTGATGTGACACATCATATCAACAAAATGAAGGACAAAAACCATACAATCATTTCAATTGATGCTAAAAAGTATTTGATATAATTAAGAGCCTTCATGATAAAAAAATCAAAAAAACTAGGTACAGAAGGAAGATACCTCAACATAGCAAAAGCCATATATAACAGACCCACAACAAGTATCACATTGAAGATCAGGAACATGACAAGAACTCCCACTTTCCCCAGTGTTATTCAAGATAGTACTGGACTTCCATCAGGCAAGATAATTGAAATAAAGAGCATCCAAATTGGAAAGGAGGAAGTTAAATTATCCTTTTGGCAGACAATAAGACCTCATATTTAGAAAAACCTAAAGACTCTACCCAAAACCTATTAGAACTCAGAAACAAATTCAGTAAATTTGCATGATAAAAGAAATCAACCTACAAAAATCAATATGCATTTTCTTTTCTAAAGACAGTTTCGCTCGTCACCCATGGCAAGATCTCGGCTCACTGCAACCTGTGCCTCCCGGGTTCAAGTGATTCTCCTGCTTCAGCCTCCTGAGTAGCTGGGGATTACAGGCACCTGCCACCATGCCCGGCTAACTTTTGTATTTTTAGTAGAGACAGGGTTTCACCATGTTGACCAGGCTGGTCTTGAACTTCTGACCTCAGGCGATCTGCCTGCCTTGGCCTCCCAAAGTGCTGGAATTACAGGCGTGAGCCACTGCCCGTGGCCAAAAATCAATATGCATTTCTATATGCCAGCGGTGAACAATCTGAAAAAAAAATAAAAAAGTAACCCCATTTACAAAAGTCAAAAATGAAATTAAATACCAAGGAATTAACCTAACCAAAAAGTGAAACACCTCTACAATGAAAACTATAAAACACTGTTGAAGAAATTGAAGAGGATGCCAAAAAATAAAAAAAAAAAAATTCCATGTTCATGGATTAGAAGAATCAATATTGTTAAAATGTCCACACTACCAAAGTAATCTACAGATTCAATGCAATCCTTACCAAAACACCAATGTCATTCTTCACAGAAACAGAAAAATCAATCCTAACATGTATATGGAACCCCAAAAGGCCCAGAATAGCCAAAGCTATCATAAGCAAAAAGAACAAAACTGAAGGAATCACATTACCTGACTTCAAATTATACTACAGAGCTATAGTAACCAAAACAGCATGGTACTGGCATAAAAACAGACACAGAGATGAATGAAATAGAATAGAAAACCCAGAAACAAATCTGCAAACCTACAGTAAACTCATATTTGACAAAGGTGCCAAGAACATATACTGAGTAAAAGACAATCTCTTCAATAAATGGTGTTGGGAAAAGTGGATATTTATATGCCGAAGATTGTCACTAGACCCCTCTCTCTCACCATATACAAAAATCAAATCAAAATGGATTAAGGACTTCAATCTAAGACCAAAAACTATAGAACTACTACAATAAAACATCAGGGAAGCTCTCCAGGACATTGGCCTGGGCAAGTATTTCTTGAGTAATGCCTCACAAGCACTGGCAAAATGGACAAATGGGGCTACATCAAGTTAAAAAGCTTCTGCACACCAAAGAAAATAATCAACGATATGAAAAGACAACCTACAGAATGGGAGAAAATGTTTGCAAACTACCCATCAAATTAAGTTCAATTTGAACTTAATTGTACATTAAAAAATAAAGAGTACCTGGAATGTTCATTGGAATGTTCAGAAAATATATATATATATATATATATATATATATATATATTTTTATTGATGTAACACTGACATGATAAGAAAGGGAGCATTGCTCTCCAAGAGATTTATGTCAAAGTAAAATATAAATTATCTTTGGCAATATTTAAGACCATTGCTCCAGTTAACAACTGCAATCTAGCCCTTACTAAAAATAAAAACTGTGTGTCTTTTCCTCAAAAAATAAGTGGAGTAAGATTGTGATTGTCCAAAATGTTCATAAACCTTAAATTGTCTCCATCTTAAATCATAACTCTGCCTGAATGCAATACTGGAACATCACAAAATAAATTTAACCCCTTCTCCTCCAAATCTTATCACTGCCCTTAACATTTTTAAGTAGTAAGATGAGCATTTCAAGATAAACTCCATACCATACACCATAAACAACTAAAACGCAGAGTCTCTTCTGTTCAGTGGTTACAGAAAAATCAAACTATGCTAATCCAAAAGGGAAATATATAGGACCATGTAAATAACAAGTGCAGAGGTAAAAATGCTTTTGGGTGTGTGTTGGAGGAAGGACACAGACTTACCTCTCTATCCTTCACCTTTGCCCTCCACCGGCTGCTGTCTCTTTAAACAGGATGATTGGCAGCTTCAGTGGGTCTTACGCAACCTATTCAAGGCCCTTGGGAAATACAGCATATCTCTTCCTAGCAACTATGATTCACTCTGATTGGATGAGCTCAATCTCTACATAGGTAAGTCATGTACTACGTAACGACTTTCCTGACAACAGCAGACTGCATGTGACATACCATACATATGACGGTGGCTGGAGCAACAGGCTACACCAAACAGTCTAGGTGTGTAAGTACATTTTGCGATGTTTGTACAATGGAATTGCCTAACAACGCATTTCTCAGAACATATCCCTGTTGTTAAGTGATGCATGTCTATAAATGTGCACACAGGGAGATGGAATTATATGGACTTGCAGTATCTAAGCTCTTACCTCTGAACCAGTCACATGGCTGGGGGAAACTGAGGCTCTGACTGGCCAGCCCTGAGGAGTGTCCCACTCCTCCAGCCAGAGGTGGGGCTCCACCTGAAACACATGCCCAATAAAAGGGGTGGGCCCATAAGAAATGTGGGTTGGGGAACTGCAAGGAAAGGAATGGATATGAGGAATAAATATACTACATTACTACATTCTGTTATATTAAATTACCAAAACAATGGAGTATATTGAATTAGGTTAATGAGATTTTAACTCATAAGAGTTGCAAGAAAGGAGGTGTGTGCCATTTGGCTCCACGTTAACTAGAATATCCTTTCCATAAAGTACAAGACAATATTTGTTAAATAAGGTATTTACCACCTGAACATTTAAAAAATGAGGATAATCAATACTCAGACAATGAAATATTTGACACACAAAAAAGGGGGGGAAACTAAATAGACACTTAAGTAAACAAGGGAGGGAGGGAAAAAGCAAGGGAAATTCAAATTCCCAACACAGGAGTGCTGTGGTTAGGAAATCCTTTTCCAAGAAAGAGCAATCTCATTTTTCCTAAAATAGAAATGTTTTTGAAAGTACCACATCAAAGTCTTTACCATAACCAAATGAAACAATTGCATTTCATAAGCCTCACATGTATTAACAAGTCTTGCAAATGACCTTGCAGATCCTTTATAATACTGTGAGATTTACAGGTCACCTTGACTTTAAGATAATCTGTAAGAGCAATCTCAGAGCCATGCATTTAATATTTCAGTAATATAACACAAACTTATGTTTTGTTTACTTATATATATAATTTTCAAAGGATATCCCATCTGTCTACAAACCCAGGATATAAAAATGTCACTTTAAATTAGCAATCTAGTTTTGGCCATCCATCTCTGAACTACAAATACGTTGATTAGCTAGGACAGAATATACTAGTCTTTTCCTAGATACAAAACGTGCATCTGTTATTATCTTGAATGTGAAGAGTGTCATCTTGAATTCTAAGGCAGGCAAATATGTAATTATTATGTACACAGATACAAGTTTCCTGAAAATATTATGCACAAAAATGTCTCTTAACACTTACATGTGTTATTTAGTTTATTCATTTCAACAGAAGTGCTTTGAACCATACAATATTGTTACAAATATATCATTGTTATCATCATCTATATTAAGCCTTCCATCATTTATGATAAAAATGAGGCAGATAGTCCAAATGACTGATTACCCAAAAATCATTTCAATTTCAAAATACAATTTGATATTTACAGTAAATGTACATCTTTGATATTGTGGGAATTAACAGCACTGAATGTAAACTATTGGAATTCACTAGAGGCCAGACCAAAAAAAAAAAAGAGGGAAAAAAAGTGGTTCTTTATTATAATACTTATATAATGCCATCATTTATTTGTGTAAACATTTTTATCTTTTAAAACTTTTTTTTTCTCATGCCTATTGCCTCATTTACCTTTTCAAGGACAGTAAATATATGCAGCACAGGTATTATATCAGCTCTAGGACCAGTAGGGCTAGTTCTAAAATCCAGCTTTCCTACAGCTTCTAGTATACTGTTTCTGCATTTGACTAGAATAGTCCCTTTCACTGTAGTTCTTTCCTACTTCTCATCCCAATCTAGAAAAATACAGCATCCCTTCACACAGATGTACTGTACAATGCACTTCCGCCACTCTCAATGCAGTTTCACCTCACTCATAAATGAAGCACCTCTCTGCATCCTTTCAGCAGTGGCAGGACATAGAGTGACACAGCACACATGAGGGAGCATGAGACATGGCCTTCTTGTCACTTCCAGGTTTCAGTGTGCCCTCTGACAAACTTTTTTTGGCATTAAGAATTCTAACTCATTAGTTTCCAAAACTAGTTACTCATCTGAACCATCATGAAAGCTTTGAAATTCTAGATTCCTGCATCATTTGACTTTAATAAGTATCAGATAGAACCATGTATAAACATTATGCACACATGCACATATGTATACACATGTACAAGCACTATTTTTTAAAAACTTCACAGATGGTTTGGATTATCAGCCAGTGCTGATTCAGATCAATGTGTTAGCCACTCTCACGCTGCTCCAGATAATGAATTGCCTGTGGTCATGAGCTCTATCCAGTGCCTCTCTAAAGCCCCTGAAACGTCTGCTAAATAGCCCTGTAACAATACAAGTGGAATATGTGTGTTGACTTTCTAGCAGGTAATTAAACATGCCCACAGTTGTAAGAAAACCATGCCTCTCGACAGTGATGAACCACATGTCCACTATGGATATATACATACACTGACATAAGCACATGCGCTCACATGGGAAATCAGAACACCACCAGCTCAACCATGCCAAGTGCCCTTGATAAAGATAAGATTCCCTGAACATTTAGTGGGTGGTCTGATTCCATTTTGGCTTCTGTTTTACAAATCTACGTGATCCTTTGTACTCGGTGCCCAAGATCATTGATGTGCTAGAGCGAATGCTCTCACGGGAAGATACTAACATTATTAAACATTCACTATTTTCCAAGGGCAAAAAACAGGTAAGTCCTAGTTCTTAACCTCAAATAATTTGCTCTCAAGAGAATGGGAGAGAGTCTTATAAACTAGAGTATAGCTGTGGGGGGTGCTACAGTGAAGGGGTGAAGATGCATATGTTAATTCACCTCTACCATTATGTGAATTTTAGTAGAAAATTGGGAAGGGTTACAAGGCCATAGCTATCTTTAATGAAATCAAACCAACAGCTATGAGAAGAAAAATAAGGGGCAGACAGTAGAGTGGAAAGTGATGTATGATTGAGGGAAAGGCTGGGTTCATTTGTTTTTAAGATGAGGGACACAATAATTTGCCTTTCTTTACACCTGTACTAACAGGGAACATATGTTTATTTTACTTTGCACCAAAGCAAACCCTAGTGCCCCGAACACAGTCCATACACAATAAGACGTTTTGTTTTTGGTTTTGCTTTTGTTTTTTTGACAGGTCCTTGCTGTCACCCAGGCTGGAGTGCAGTGGCATCATCACAACTCACTGCAGCCTCAACCTCCTAGGCCCAAGCGATTCTCCCACCTCGGCCCCTCAAGTAGCTGAGATTATAGGCACATACCAACATAGCTGGCCTATTTTTTTGATTTTTAATTTTTTTTTATATATAGAGACAGGGTCTCGTTATCTGGTCTCTAATTCCTAGCCTCAACTGATCCACCTCTCTGGGCCTCCCAAAGTGCTGGAATTACAGGTGAGAGCCATTGCACTGGCCCACAATACATTTTTAATTTAAAAAATGGAAGCTTATCTATGACCAGGAAAAGGGTAAAATAAAACACAACAAGAAGTTGTTTTCTTTAGATAATACAATGGTAGTTACTTTAATTTTGTTTGATAATTTTCTGTATTTTCCATGACGAACAAATGGCACTTTCATTATTGGAAAAGAAAGTGACACTCTTATTTCACGAGAGTTTCGTTTGTTATAACCATAAAATATTCAGCATCTTTAAGTTTTTAGTTTCTGCTTTTCCAGAAAACAACTGAGCTTCACAACAAATGAAATAAACCATTTTACTATGTCCAGTTCATATTTTCAAAGTTAACAAGGCTTGACATCCCAGGATAGCACAACTAATAAGTTAGCCATTCTTCATCATGATCAGAAAGTTGTTTCAGTGGCAATGCCGGTACTACTCAGCTTGTACAGGAAGAGCAGGCCCTAGAAAGGCATGTTAATAGGGGATATTCCCAAAGCAAGGCTTACTATTTTGATAATGTAGCTTCCATTGAATTTAAATACTTCATCAAATATGTATTTTCTTTTTTTTTTTGAGAAGGAGTCTCGCTCTGTCACCCAGGCTGAAGTGCAGTGGTACCATCTTGGCTCACTGCAATCTCTGCCTCCCAGGTTCAAGCGATTCTCCTGCCCCAGTGCCCTGAGTGGTTGGGATTACAGGTGCGTGCCGCCCCACCTGGCTAATTTTTGTATTTTTAGTAGAGACGGGGTTCCACCATGGTGATCAGGCTGGTCTTGAACTCCTGACCTTGTGATCCGCCTGCCTTGGCCTCCCAAAGTGCTGAGATTACAGGCGTGAGCCACCATACCTGGCCCAAATATGCATTTTATGCAATATAAATCTCACATATGTAGATGAAGATGTGCTAGGACAGAAGTTTTCTTAATCAGCACATAGCCTGTAGCTTTCTGTGAGATAATGCAGAGCAGGCTCACACCACCTATCAGAGCCTCACTCAGGGACACTGAGGTTTTGAATGCTGCTATTGTACCTAAGCTCTCAACCAATATCAGGTTGATGGGAATGACATTCAAACAGGACAAGCAACAAGGTTGCCTGAGAGTCTCTGTTAACACCAGATACATGTAAATGACAATCCTAACTATCCTTATGGAATAAGTATGGTGAGGATTAAATGAGTTAATATATGCAAAGCTTTTATAGCAATGCCAGGCACATAGGACACACCAACTATGTCCCATTCAATATGATTCTGGGAAAATGTAAGCTTCAAGAAGTCAGGGATTTCCATCTGTTCTGCTTACTACCATCTCCCCAGCTCCTAACATGCAGGTGATACCGAATAAATATTTTGTGACTGAGTAAATGCTGGGGTAAGAACAAAGACAAATGCTTGGTCTGAGGGGCTTGGGGTGGTGCTGACTTCTAGAAGATGGGAGCCTTGGGGCTTGCATGTCAGGGATAACAGAACGAACTGCCAGCCCATGGCACCACAGGGATCAGCCAACCTCTATGCCTTGTAAATTAAGAGTCATTTTGGCCCAATTGTCCAGCTTCCGAATCTGTGTCTTCTTCTCCTTCACATCCTTTCATATCTATCCTCCGTCCCTCACAAACACCTGGCTATATCCTCAGCTTTTCAAAAACCTTCATTATTCCCTTAGAGCGTAAGTTGCCAAATCTTCTCAGTTCACAGTGCTCTTACCTTTCAGTGATAGCTTTCACGGTACTCCTACGCCGAAAGCAAGACCTATCCATTTCGTTTATTTAGTGGCTAAGTCTAAACAATCTCATAGTAGTCCTCTGCATAGTGTCCAGCTGTGTTTCCCTTGAAAACGTTAACACCTACAACATGGGGTAGTTGTTCCCGTACTCCAGGGAGCCTTGTCCCACAGTTTGGGAACGAGGGCCTTAGCAATTTCCTCTTTAGGACAATTGCAAATAATTTGGGAACACTATTTAGTTCAACCTCCTGGCTGGCTCCTGGCCACTTCTTCCTAGGCAATTTCCTCTTTTAATTGTTGAACAGAAATTTTGGTAGCACTGATGGCCACTGCACATGAAACGCAGCAAGGCTTAATGCTAGCTGAAGTAAGAGAAAAGCAGTATCTCCAAATCTTAGACAGACAGATGTGTTTCAGCATTTGGTGTAAATCCACAAAGAGAAGCTTAAGTCTGGAAAATATGATAGAGGTTCCATGCACCCTGGGAGCCCCAGCAAGTAGCCAGCACCATGCTGAGCAGCGCTGCCTGCCCAGAGAGCCTCCCCGGGGCCAGAGTTCAGGCACTAACAGCCAAGACACAAACTGGTCTTAAGTCAGCTTAGGCAGAGCACACTAGGATGGTGAGGGCTTTCTCCTTTCACCACATCCCAGAAGAAAACCATGTTTTAACCACCGTTTGGATGGTGTTTTGTTCTATTATTAATGGCAAAGCAAAGCTTTTAATCTTAGTAACTGGACAGGAAAATAAAAAATACAACTGTATTAAAAATGCACCTTGCTGATAGAAATAGTCTAGCAGTCACTAATGAAAAAATAAGTAAATAGAAAAAGAAATAAACCCTTAAAGTTATGAGGGAAAAAATGAGCAATAAAAGTAATTTTATAAAATACTAAAACATCTCTTCTTAGAAATAAAGAAAATGCTACTGAGGAAAAAACACAAAAATCCAACCACATCACCACATCCACCTGCTCTTGGGCTGCCTGGTGCCTGTCTGAGACCCCACATATTTCATGTGTCCCCTCCATGACTGGTGTGCACTCTCCCGACTGATATCGCAGAACAGTGGGACACCCTACTTCCTCTAGAGGCTTTCTCTGAACAGTGATGTCCCAAATGCAGCACAGAAAAGTGGGGCCAGCTCGTGACAGAGTCCAGGTAATGCTCAGGCAAGAACAATGCTGCTCTGACTTCAGAAGTACTAGAATGGGAGACCATGATGAGGCCCAAATAGAGACCATGGAATTGTCTGGGAGGTGACAGTGAAAGTGGCTCAGGAGTGGGGATGGAAGATATGTACATCAGAGAGGGAAGGACAAGGGGGCACTTATTCCTGGGGCTCTTGAGCAGCCAGTGCAAGGAGCCAATAAAGACAAATCCAACCAGTGAGCAGGTTGGGCCTTGGTTCCCCTTTTGTCCAAGTATATTAGTCAGGGTTTTCTAGAGGAACAGAACAAATAGGATAGATGTACAGACGAAGGGAAGTTTATGAAGCAGTATTGACTCACACGATTACAAGGTGAAGTCCCACAATAGGCTATCTGCAAGCAAGGAGCAAGGAAGCTGGTCTGAGTCCCAAAACCTCAACAGCAGGGAAGCAGACCCAAGGGCCCCTAGCAAATCACTGGTTTAAGTTCAATAGTGCAAAAGCCAAAGAACTTGGAGTTCGATGTTCGAGGGCAGGAAGCATCCAGCACTGGAGAAAGATGAAGACTGGAAGACTTAGCAAGTCTGCTCTTTCAAACTTCTGCCTGCTTTATTATAGCAGCACTGATAGCTGATTAGATGCTGCCCACCCAGATTGAGGGTGGGTCTGCCCCTCCCAGTCCACTGACTCAAATGTTCATCTCCTTTGGCAGCACCCTCACAGACACACCCAGGAACAATACTTTGCATCCTTCAGGTCAATCAAGTTGACACTTAATATTAATCATCACACCAAAGCTGC